TAAATATTTTTAAATATAATCAAATTAGAGTATTTATAATTTTTAACTTTTTGAACTATTAAGTATTGATGATATTCTCTAAAAATATCAAGTAAAACTTCTTTTAAATGTTGCAAATTAAAATATTTAAATTTTTATTGTAGTATATAACATTATACATTTCAAAAAATTAAATGTATGAAATCGAATATAAATATTCAAATTCTGACCCGTTGCTCAGTCGGAATTTTGTTGACTTTATTTTTGTGTAAAAAAAATATATTACTCAAGTCTGAATTTTTGACCCGTTATATTGTTTCCTTTATAGATTCAACAATTTATATGCGTTTTTAAATATTCAAATCTTGGCATATGCAGAAAAAAATTTACTTTTTTTTATTATGTAGATGATATGATGATTTATTTGTTTTATATTAATATAATCATATAAAGATGAGAGGTGAAGTATAATGATTAATAAAAAATTAATATGGTAAGTTAGATATCAAATCTAATATGTTCATTTTGATTGGTCATTTAAAAAAAATAATAATAACAGATTTTCGTTTTATAAGTTAATTATATTAATTAAATGACATAAATTAGTATTTTACTTGTTTATCCTTAATAAATTGAATGAAATTTGTTCTAAAAGAAGATTTTTGTAATGGCATTCTTAAGTAAATTCTTACAAAAGGGAAGGTTAGTTAAGGGTATCTTATAAAGTGTACTCCCCAAATAATAGGATGTTGTAGCATTGCTATTTATTTATTTTTCAACACAGTATTATTATTGTTGATTTTAAAAAAATGATCAAATATATATTATTTAATGTTGAATAGTTTGTAAACTATTATAAAGAGTTGTATAAAGATGAAATAAACAAATTTTCAGCTTTTTAGGGTAACATCTAATATGTGTGTTTCAATTTTACATGCATATGCACTCTAGTGTCTTCCAATTCCATTTTTTCTGCCAAAATTACATATCCACCCAAATGATATGACATTTTTTTTCCTTTTTTTCTCAGTTAGCTACTAGTATATAAAGCCAACATATAACACATGTGCTAACACTCAAAAAGGATTCTCAACAGCGAGACAGAGAGATGGATGGTCGATTACCTGACAAAGGGATTCTCAAGAGCGAGGCTCTAAAACAGGTTTTAGTTTACTATAGTCTCCTAATCAATTTAGAACGATCTATAGATTTACAAATATATGTGCTTACTTATAGTACGACTGCATGATGTGTTACATATGACAGTACATTATGGAAACAACAGCATATCCAAGAGAGCACGAATTGCTTAAAGAACTTCGAGAAGCTACAATCCAGAGATATGGCAATTTGTAAGTCCTCAATCATTTGATTTTGCAACCAGTTGATTGAGAAATATATACGATTTATACAAAATTTCTAAACGCAGAAGCGAGATGGGGGTTCCGGTTGATGAAAGTCTATTTCTATCGATGCTTGTAAAGATCATCAATGCGAAAAACACTATCGAGATCGGTGTGTTCACGGGTTACTCACTTTTCACCGTAGCTCTTGCTTTGCCTGAAGATGGCCGTGTAATGATTCTTCTTGCTGATCATACCAAAAAATAGGGTTACTTTTTGTTATAGTAATTTTTTTTTGGTATGCAGATTACTGCGATAGACATTGACCAAGCAGGTTACAATTTGGGACTAGAGTTTATGAAGAAAGCAGGTGTTGATCACAAGATCAATTTCATTCAATCTGATGCTGTTAGAGGCTTAGACCAATTATTGAACGAGGTACGTAAATTAGTACAACTCACACGATTAAAAACTAAGCTAATGGTCAATTTTTGAGGTAATGGTTAGGACCACTAAATTAGTATATCTTTTTACTCAAAAAATATTGATACTTTTTATATATTAATTTTTAGCTTTGTAATAATGAATCAGACATAATTTGTTTACTCGGTCCATAATTTTTATTAAATCGACTAACCTATTCAATATATTTTGGGTCAAGGAGAAACAAGAGTATGATTTTGCATTTGTGGATGCTGACAAGACGAACTACGTTTACTTTCTTGAGAAGCTGCTTAAGTTAGTGAAGGTTGGAGGAATCATTGCGTTCGATAACACCTTATGGTTCGGTACTCTAATTCAGAAGGAAAACGAAGTTCCAGGCCATATGAGAGCTTATAGAGAAGCACTTTTAGAGTTCAATAAAATTTTGGCTCGGGATCCTCGAGTCGAAATCGCTCAAATATCCATCGGAGATGGTCTCACATTATGCAGACGCCTTATATGATTGAAATTCTAGTAAATAATGTTATATGCTACAATAATGACTTTGTCCTTTGTTTGTAATGTTATATGCTACAATAATGAGTTAATGACCTTCATCTTCCTAATAAAACTTCTCTTTGCAAAGAAGGTTTGAATTGGATGCGAATAAAATATTTTATTACTTTGCGGCAAAATGTTGAGAATGTTTAAACTTTGAGGGTTTGGTTGATAAATTAAGATAAATAATTGACATTTCTAAATCAGAAATCTCCAATTTTTATTTGAATGTTCAAAAGCTGCCAGATTGAGAATATTTCGTCCGTCGTAGAAACTTGAGAATAGCGGCGAATCTGGTTCGATTTGGGTTCCAATTGAAGATTTTGAAGCTCCTTTTGACTCCTTCTACATCTCTCTCTTCTAGATCTCGACAACTCTAACCCTTTTCCAAGTGACGATTTGTTTCCCCTCCTCTTCGATTTGGTAAATTTTCGCTCTTTCTACTGAAATCGAATGAATTTGTGATTTTCCGGATATGGGTTCTTGTCTCTATACATTTTCTGGTGATGGGTTATGAGAAAAAAAGTTTTCTTTTTTTCAATCTTTGCTTGTGTAGGTGGATCTTGGGAAATTGATTTAGTTCAAAGCTCTGATGGCTAAAAAGGAGAGACCTAGACCTGAGAAGTTGTCTGTGTATCTTTATATACCTAATATTGTTGGTGGGTCTTTAATTTCTCTTTAGCTTTTTTCTTAGCATTAAAGATTGTTGTTGTGACTTGTGATGATGATTTATTGATTGCTTTCAGGGTACATGAGAGTTCTCTTGAACTGTGTTGCTTTTGCTGTGTGTTTCTCCAACAAGACACTTTTCTCAGTCCTTTATTTCTTCAGGTCCTGCAACTTTCTTCTTTGATTTTCGATTAAGGTTTTTTCATGTTTTGGGTGATGGCATTAATAGTCTTCTTTTGTGATAAATGTGTCTCTCTATAGCTTTTGTTGTGATGCTGTGGATGGCTGGGTCGCTCGTAGATTCAACCAAGGTTTAAGAACTTCTCTCTTGTTTTATAAATCACATTTTTATTGCGTACTGTTGGTCAAAAGATCCTACTACTGATCAAGATTAGGACATTATGTTGCTAGTGTTTAGTTTCAATGTGATAGACATTTTTTCATTGTGATTCTATAAGCTAAGATATGTATCATATGCCATCATTACTATAATATGTAGGAAGCCAGAATTGACTCACTTCTCTTTTGTTCTTCCTCAGTTTCAACATTTGGAGCTGTTCTTGACATGGTCACAGATAGGTGAGTCTTCTTCTACATATATGCTAGGATCAACCTACTTTTATGTTTAGTGAATTTTTGACATTTTGTTGGTGGTCATTTTGGGTTATAGAGTTAGCACGGCTTGTCTACTCGTGATTCTCTCTCAGATCTACAGGTGAGGATACTTCTCTGTATCTTTTTCCGTAGCATCTCTTGAGTTTCTACCTTATTAAATGCATTTTTCTTACTTTTTCTTTCATCTTTAAATAGGCCTAGCTTGGTCTTCCTCTCATTGCTGGCTTTAGATATTGCTAGTCACTGGCTGCAGATGTACAGGTACGCTAATTAACTCTTTCTTGTTGCACCGTGAATTCTTCTCTACACTTCAAATCTCCAGTTTCTAACCAGGGGCTTCTTCATACTCTACTCGCAGTACGTTTCTAGCAGGGAAGAGCAGCCATAAGGATGTGAAAGACAGCACAAGCTGGCTTTTTAGACTCTACTATGGAAACCGGATATTTATGTGTTATTGCTGTGTTTCTTGCGAGGTGATTGAATTTGTCTCTTTATTTCCATGTTAATCCTTTGAGATTATGTCTTCTTAAACGCAAATCTTTTCAAACTTGCAGGTTCTGTATATCATCCTTTTACTCATTGCAAAGAACCAATCCGAAAATCTCCTGAATGTTAGCTTCTCTTTTCTTTCATTTAGTCTATCTTTGAGTCCTTACTTTTGCTCAACTCCTAAGCATGGTTATCATTACAGGTCGTAGTTACCACATTAACACAGATTTCACCACTCTCTTTTCTCCTGGCAGTTGACATTGTTCGGTTGGTCGATGAAGCAGACTGTTAATGTCATTCAGGTAAAGCTAATATTTTACCAAATCCGCCACTAATCCCTCTATTAGAAGCTGTTGTTTGTTCTAATTATATAATTGATTGTGGCGTATTTTTTCAGATGAAAACTGCTGCAGACGTTTGTGTACTGTATGATATAGAGAAGCAGCAGAAGCCTTGATCATCTTCTTTTCTCTCAACCTGAAACTCTTCTTTTCTTTTTTACCTGTTTGTTCTCTTTTCACTGTGGATGTAGATAATTGTTTTTAATGAAATGAAGAAATATTAATTTGCCTTTTGACATAATTTTGTTTTGTACATAATAATCTTGAATCTATGTTTCTATTTTAATTCAGTTTTTGATGCAGAGTTTGAGTTTGAGTTTGGATATGGACACGTCAGCATTATCTCGTTCCCAAAACGTAAGGTCCAAACTCAGATAATACACACGAAGTAGTTCTTGTCACTCATCATCAACATATGAACCACTCCAAAATAAAAACAAAAACGTAGATAATGATCATGCAAAACCGACCGTTGGATCTTAATTTCGATTTCAAACCACATAAATCCTAGTGACTGAGCTAAAAAACTGAACTTTTTTTAAAGGCAGAGGACCTCTGTTTTCCAAATTCTCACCACAGAAACACTTGAAGCTTTCTCCTTTCTCTGCCATGGCGAAACCGGTGTCCATTGAAGTGTATAATCCTAATGGGAAATACAGAGTTGTTAGCACAAAACCGATGCCGGGTACTCGCTGGATCAATCTCTTGGTAGACCAAGGTTGTCGCGTTGAGGTAATTATTTCTTCTTTCTAGGCATCAAGAATATTACTACTTTTGATTCATTCACACTTAGTTTCTGTTTTGTTTTGAATAATAGATATGTCATTTGAAGAAGACGATCTTGTCTGTAGAAGATATCATTGATCTGATCGGAGACAAGTGTGATGGAGTCATTGGTCAGGTAATGGAATGAAACAGAGCAAAGAGATGTGTATTGTTATACCATATGAAAGTAAAAATTGGTTTGGTTTGTTATAGTTGACGGAAGATTGGGGAGAGACTCTGTTTTCAGCTCTGAGCAAAGCTGGAGGGAAAGCTTTTAGTAACATGGCCGTTGGTTACAACAACGTCGATGTTGAAGCTGCCAATAAGTATGGAATTGCCGTCGGTAACACTCCGGTAATAACAACAGAAACAAATTTTAGTTCCAAAGATAGGCTTAGGAAGGGTTTTTAAAAGTTTTAGTATTGATTACTATATCATTAGTATCTTTACTAAACCTTAATGTTGTTTATTTGATTTGCATAGGGAGTGTTGACTGAGACGACGGCCGAACTAGCTGCATCTCTTTCCCTGGCTGCTGCAAGAAGGATTGTTGAAGCGGACGAATTCATGAGAGGTGGCTTGTACGAGGGATGGCTTCCTCATCTGTAAGATCACTACACTAAAACATTCTGATCTCTATTCTTCTTGATTTCAAGAACTTAATTGAGAACTATTGTAATCGCGTTGTTTGGTTTTGGTAGGTTTGTGGGGAACTTACTTAAAGGACAAACTGTTGGAGTTATTGGAGCTGGACGTATTGGATCTGCTTATGCTAGAATGATGGTAAGCTTCTTGCAATGGCATTTGTAAATTTCAATCCACATTATCTAGACAAAAGCTTCGGTTTTTTACCTCTTTGATTCGAAAACAGGTGGAAGGGTTCAAGATGAATTTGATCTACTTTGATCTTTACCAATCCACTCGTCTTGAGAAATTTGTGACAGGTACGTAACAGTTTCTATTTAATATACTCTTTCTCATTTCTTCTTCGTGTTCAAGTATATGTATTTGAAAAAATGATCATTGGCAGCATATGGACAATTCTTGAAAGCAAACGGTGAACAACCTGTGACATGGAAGCGAGCTTCGTCCATGGAGGAGGTGCTACGCGAGGCTGATCTGGTATATGGAATCCTTAGACACAAACTGTTCTTTTTTAAAAACATTTGTAGTGTATCTCTTATAGCAAGAAACTGAACTGGTTGTGATCTGAAACAGATAAGTCTTCACCCGGTGCTGGACAAAACCACTTACCATCTTGTCAACAAGGAGAGGCTTGCCATGATGAAAAAGGTGATTTCGCTTTCTCTATTTCATTGATACCCTCTTATTGTTATTGATCTTGTTCTTGATTAATTTATCTGTTTCAGGAAGCAATCCTTGTGAACTGCAGCAGAGGTCCTGTGATTGATGAGGCAGCTCTGGTCGAACATCTCAAAGAGAACCCGATGTTCCGAGTTGGTCTCGATGTGTTTGAGGTACTGTCATATACGCTATGATCAACCCAAAACATAAAAGGTTATCTCTGGGGACTTAACAAGTGTTAGTAAATCAAATTGTTTCAGGAAGAGCCATTCATGAAACCAGGGCTTGCTGATATGAAAAACGCTATTGTTGTTCCTCACATTGCTTCTGCTTCCAAGGTAACAAACTGAAGAAACGTTTCTTTGTGTCTAAACAGATAATTAACAAAACTGACCTTAACTTCTTCTGATGATGACAGTGGACTCGTGAAGGAATGGCTACACTTGCAGCTCTCAACGTCCTCGTATGCATTCATTCCCATTCCAAAATCCTCTTTTTTTGTATGGTTCAAATGACTAAACTCTAATCATCTTCCTCTGAAAATGTTTTAACAGGGAAGAGTCAAAGGGTACCCAATTTGGCATGACCCGAACCGAGTCGATCCATTCTTGAACGAAAACGCTTCACCGCCCAATGCCAGTCCAAGCATCGTCAACTCAAAAGCCTTAGGTACTACACTTAGACAAACAAACAAACCATGTCTAATCCACTTACACAAATTTGTTCCCATTCTCTATTAAAATTACTCTCATATATATATATTCTTTGGGATTTTTCAGGATTGCCTGTTTCGAAGCTATGAGTTAAGTATAAAGAAGGGGAGATTTGGAAGAATCGTTTCAGTGAATATATGATGGTGTCAAGTTGTGTTTATGTAATGTATATGCAACAACCATGTTGGATCATATAAATCACTCTTTTAAAGTGTTATATTGTTGATGAGTCTATTACCCACTTTCTTTATTTCATAAAATTTGCTATGAGTACAATTTCTAAGACATCAAGTTAAGCATTTCGTCTCTAGTTTTAGAATTTGTACTCATGGATCTACCATCCATTCCCGTTTGAGAACATCACAGAACGGTTTTGAAACTTCTAAAAATCCGATTCATGACACAAAACGGTAATAGAATTTTCTCCGGAAAAAAAAAAATGGAACAGTTAAAAACAAAAATAGTGGTAGAGCATAGTAAGATAAGTTATAAGTGGTAAGTTGGTAACCATAATAGTAGTAAAGTTTTGACCATAGCGGTAAAATCACATCTTAAACATAATATAATATTATAGTTTTCTTCAATTATAAATCAATATGATTATCATTATTACGTTTTAAATATATATAATAGTTTTTTTGTTTTATAAAGAATAGACATGAAGATTTTCTGTACAAAAATCATCACATTAGATATTTTCAGTAAATTATGATCTGAATAGAGAATTATGTTTTTTTACGGGATATGGCAACATATTTTTTTTTTGAAAAGTAAAAAGCAAATTATGCGGTTCTTTTAGTCAAGTTAAATTTTGGTCTAAAAGCCAAACAAAGATCGCATGATTTATCGGATAAGAGAATCATTGCGGCTCTTTTTGAATGGTTGACAATAACATTGCACCAACAAATATCGTTTTGATCTCGAGCAACCATGATTACTTAGATGCTTTGGAAAGTGTACGGTATCAATGATGTTCTAATGTTGTGTGATTCATAGAGAACCGAAAGATAATCTTGTCCCAATTGAGGAGCATAAGAACTAAAGTCTTGATGCTTCATCATGCCTTGTTGAGTCACCGAGAAATGTGAGGCTTGTCTCAAATATTGTTGTTGTTGTTGAGCTGCTAGATTTTCGAAAATGTTAGGATCGAAACAACTATTTTTTCGTTGTTGCGGTTCCATGCCTTGTTGAGTCTCCATATGAACCAATGAGTGATGATTTTGAGCCAAATCTCCTCCCAGAGGAGCATAAAATCCAAAGTCTTGATGCTCCACCATGCCTCGTGTCACTGGAACCATGCCTTGATGATAAGGAAGATCCGAGTACTGAAAAACCTGATCATAATATCCATTCCATTGTTGCACCTCCATGGCTTGAACCGAGTGTGAAGGATTTGTCTCTTGTCCCTAAAACTCGTTCTGCTTCTTAGCTCTCAAGAACTGACCAGAAAAACCAAAGTCTTGATGTTGCTTTATGTCTCCATTCATAGCATATTTTTAAAGATCATTCATCGCAACTTGACTGCTGACAATGCGCTAATAAGATGTACAAGGAAGACTTGGGTTGCGAAGCTATCCGGTATAACTTTGAGATGAATTATCTTTTAACACACTTTCACATGTAAGTTAAATTATGGGTTTGATGAAATATCTTGAGTTTAACATTTTTTTTCTTAGTATCCGTGTAAAAATTGTAGCTTTTGAAAATTAAACATAATATAGTACAAAATCCACACCATAGATCATTTTTAATATATATTGAATATATATATTAAAATTCATAATCCTCTTTTTAATTAATTTAATTTCTAAGTTTTTCACAAATATTAAAAAATAGACTAATATTGATTATACATATATTATTTTTTTATTGACAATTTTCTATAATTTTAAATTGACAGTATTTAATTTATTTTTTAAAATTTATAATTCATCAACAATAACGAATAAAATAAATAAAAATTTAGAAAATGTATTTTTCTTTTTTTGAAATAATGTCTTTTTCCTTTTTAAAATTTAATTTAATAAGTAACCGAATGAATATATTATAATGAGAAAATTTAAAAATAAAATATCACCAAATTTTGTATAAAAAAACAATTAGACACTCTATCTTAAGTTGACAAAAGCACTGAAATCTCGCCACGTAGCATGCTGAGCAACGTACACCACGTGGAATTTGCTGAGACCAAAACCCCATGTGACAGCTGCTTAGAGGTCCCACTTTGGTCTAAATACACTAACGGATAAGATCAAACCACACATTTCTCTTGGTGTGACCAAACTTTACGTCCTCTTCTCTTTTTCCACCCTTTGATCATTAATTTCTACTCTCCATCTTCATCGGACGATTCAAATCCTCTCACAAACATTTTTCAAATATATAATTTCCATGCTCGTTAGAGAAATTAGTAGTATACATAAATTTATGTATACATCGTTATTTATTAACACTAAAGAGCAAAGTTAAGACTATAACTAGAAGACGCACAAGCTCTGTCTGAGAAAAAAAACAAAAAGCTAAACTGTATTCATTATAATTCCAATCTCACACGCAAAAACCTTAACAACGAAAAACATATCTGTCTGAAGAAAAAGTGCCGGTAATAAGAAAGAATCAACTTTTTCTACTTTGTTTTTATCCAATCACCAAAAAAAGACGCATAGAAGAAGCATTTTCTCATAAAACACAGTCAAAAATCTCTTTTTCTCTTCTCAAATTTAAACCTCACCTTTAATATTTCTTCTTACTTTTGAAGCTGTAATAATAATCTTGAATCTATTCCTTTCTTTCTCTTTCTCATGTTTAATCGGTGAAGGCTTAGTCTGTTTCATTCATCATGTTTCAATCAAAAGCTTTACTTTTTCTTTAACCTTTCCATTACAAGAGACTTCTAGCTTCATTTGTCTGAAACCAAAATCCAAAAGGGTACCAATAATTTCTTTAAAAATTCTCTCTTTTTCTCTGTTTAGTATCAAGAAATGGTTTCAAGATCGTATTCGAATCTGTTGGAGTTAGCTTCAGGAGACTCACCAACGTTTGGACGCATGAACCGACAAATCCCACGAATCATGGCCGTTGCTGGAATCATGTCAAACATTGATAATGACTCTAAAGAAACTGATCTGTCTCCTAAAGATCGTATCATCATTGTAGCTAATGAATTACCAATCCGAGCTCAGAGAAGGTTAGAGGGTAGTGGTAGTACTAGTACTTGTTGTAGCAAAGGTTGGAACTTTTCTTGGGATGAGAATTCACTTCTTCTTCAATTGAAAGATGGGTTAGGAGATGAAGCTATTGAAGTTATCTATGTTGGTTGTTTGAAAGAAGAGATTCCTCTTAATGAGCAAGAAGAAGTGTATCAGGTTCTTCTTGAGAGTTTCAAGTGTGTGCCTACGTTTTTGCCTTTGGATTTGTATACTAGATACTACCATGGATTCTGTAAGCAACAGCTTTGGCCTTTGTTTCATTACATGTTGCCACTTTCTCCTGATCTTGGAGGTAGGTTTGATAGGGCTTTGTGGCAAGCTTATGTCTCTGTGAACAAGATTTTTGCTGATAGGATTATGGAGGTGATTAATCCTGAGGATGATTTTGTGTGGATACATGATTATCATTTGATGGTTTTGCCTACTTTCTTGAGGAAGAGGTTTAATAGAGTCAAGCTTGGTTTCTTCCTTCATAGTCCTTTTCCATCGTCTGAGATTTACAAAACTCTGCCTATTCGTGAGGAGCTTCTTCGGGCTTTGCTAAACTCGGATTTGATAGGGTTCCATACTTTTGACTACGCGAGGCATTTCTTGTCTTGTTGTAGTCGAATGCTCGGTCTTACTTATGAATCTAAGAGAGGATACATTGGACTTGAGTATTATGGTAGAACCGTGAGTATCAAAATACTACCTGTGGGAATTCATATGGGTCAGCTTCAGTCCGTTCTGAGCTTACCCGAGACTGAAAGGAAAGTCGGGGAGCTCATTGAGCGGTATGGTCGAAAGGGCAGGACAATGCTTCTTGGTGTGGATGACATGGACATTTTTAAAGGGATAACCTTGAAGCTTTTGGCTATGGAGCAGCTGCTTATGCAACATCCTGAATGGCAAGGGAAGGTTGTGTTGGTGCAGATAGCTAATCCGGCGAGAGGGAAAGGGAAAGATGTTAAAGAGATGCAAGCTGAGACGTATTCAACTGTTAAGCGGATTAATGAGACGTTTGGGAGACCTGGGTACGATCCTATAGTGTTGATCGATGCACCGTTGAAGTTTTATGAAAGGGTTGCTTATTATGTAGTTGCTGAGTGTTGTTTGGTGACAGCGGTTAGGGATGGAATGAATCTTATACCTTACGAATACATAGTTTCCCGTCAAGGAAATGAGAAGCTGGACAAAATTTTAAAGCTGGAACCAAATAATCATAACAAGAAAAGCATGCTGGTGGTTTCTGAGTTTATTGGTTGCTCTCCATCGCTAAGCGGAGCCATTCGTGTTAATCCCTGGAATGTTGATGCAGTAGCTGAGGCAATGGATAGTGCCCTTGAAGTGGCTGAACCGGAGAAGCAGCTAAGACATGAGAAGCATTACAAGTATGTGAGTACACATGATGTTGGCTATTGGGCTCGTAGCTTCCTCCAAGATCTTGAGAGGAGTTGTGGTGAGCATGGACGGAGGAGGTGTTGGGGAATTGGGTTTGGTCTCAGTTTCAGAGTTGTGGCACTAGACCAGAGTTTCAGGAAGCTGTCAATGGAACACATAGTATCAGCTTATAAGAGGACAAAGACACGGGCTATTCTTTTGGACTACGATGATACTTTAATGCCACAGGGATCTATCGATAAAAGACCTTCGTCAAAGTCAATCGACATATTGAACACCTTGTGTAGGGACAAGGGCAATCTGGTGTTCATTGTTAGCGCAAAAAGCCGAGAAACTCTATCGGACTGGTTTAGTCCTTGTGAGAAGCTTGGAATTGCTGCGGAACATGGCTATTTTCTGAGGTAATCAACCAAAACTTTTTATTCACCAGCATTACCATTATATCTTATAACTCAAGCTCTATCTAACTACTACACAGGCTAAGGAAGGCAGTAGAATGGGAAAACTGTGTGGCAGCAGCAGATTGTTCTTGGAAGCAAATTGCAGAGCCTGTGATGGAACTCTACACTGAGACAACCGACGGATCAACAATTGAAGACAAGGAGACTGCTCTTGTTTGGAGTTATGAGGATGCTGACCCTGATTTTGGCTCATGTCAAGCTAAGGAACTTCTAGATCATCTTGAAAGTGTCCTTGCCAATGAACCTGTAACAGTCAAGCGAGGACAGAACTACGTTGAGGTCAAGCCGCAGGTCTGTGACTCTATTCAATTCCCCAAAAAACCTTGGCATATGTTTCCATTTGTAGAGTCTTCTTAGTTGTTGTTGTCTTCATGCAGGGCGTTAGCAAGGGACTTATAGCGAGAAGGATGCTTTCGATGATGCAAGAAAGAGGAACACTTCCCGAGTTTGTTCTATGTATTGGAGATGACCGGTCTGATGAAGACATGTTTGAGGTGATATGCAGTTCCACTGAAGGCCCTTCGATTGCCCCAAGAGCTGAGATTTTCGCTTGTACTGTCGGTCAAAAGCCTAGCAAGGCCAAGTATTACCTGGATGACACTACTGAGATTGTCAGGTTAATGCATGGTTTAGCTTCTGTTACAGACCAGATCACTCCTGTTTAAAAAGTCACGGAGAAGTATCAGAGACTAGAAATCTCTCAAGTTTGTATATTTTACCACGGAAAATTGTAACAAAGAGAGATACTGAGTGAAAATGTAATTTTCCTTTATTGACAATCGTAGAATATATGAACAAGGCTTTATATCCTACAAAGTGTTCAGGTTCCCTTAATAGATTTCTTCTTGTTAACCTCTGACATTAGTCTAAGAAACGAAACTAGTTTCTTCTTTGCTTTAGCCACTTCATCTTGAGACTGAACATATTCAGCTGAAGCACAGAGAGAGCAGTAAAAATTTCCAGCATCATCGTAAGAAGGTGGTGAATCCAAACATTTCTGATGAACCATAACTTCGCAGCCATCACTAGAGCAAAACAACAGCTTCCTACTTTCTTTGCATTTAACACATCGGTATATTTTCTCTGCAGGACTTGACAAATGACCATCGCTTTCATATCGATATCCCTCGTTTCTTCTTTCGAACAACTCATGGGATCTACTAATCTCATCAGCCCCATCTCCAAGGCCGCGACATAATGAATGTCCGTCTTCTGTTCTCCCCATTGGAGGAGCAACTCGATCAGTCTCTTCGACATCACAAGGAGATACTTCAGTATCATTCTCACAGGAAGATGGTTCAATCATCTGATAAAACAAAACAAACATAAACCTTAAAAGCCTTATAGTGCTCTCAACTAAAAAGGAACTTCAAAGCAAGCTTAATACCAGTTCCAAAACACATTTTGGTAGACAAAGAAGTTTGCTTTTGATAAAGGGTTGAAGATTCCACTTCGATAGTCCCGGTGCACCCGGTTTCAGTTCCGATAAAGGTATCTAGAAAACAAAGAACCAAGCAATCTAAGTAGACCTAATCAAGAAACCACATTGAAAAGGAAATGCAAGATTAATCATTTGTACTAGTACCTCATCCAAGATACATTGGAGTACATATTCACAGCTCTCGGACGAGTCAAACTCGATCTTTGAGTCAGCTTCAGAAACAAGATCAGAATCAAACAAAGAAGCTAAGCATCTGAAAGCTACCATCTCATTGGTATATTCACCCAAATAATCTGGAAGCTTAGGAGCCATTTCAAACACATCTGCAAGATTGATGATATAAAACAAAATCTCAGAAATTGAAAATTTCTGAAAAATCAAAGAAGCTTTTCAATTACCATTTAACATCCAAAGCTCAGTTTTGAATTTCGCAAAGTACTCAATAATCCAAATCCAGTTATCAAGGTCTAAATTCCCAGTCACAAAGCGATCACATAAACTGTCTGAATTCGGAGGTTCCATCATCGACACCAAAAAAGTAGAGCTGTTGACAAAGACAGAAAAATCAGTCTTCAGATTCGTGAAGAGAACTAAAAAAGCACTGGAGAAATTTCATCATTATTATTGGAAAGATCCAAGGCCCAAGCCCAATCCCAGGCCCAGAACTTTGCTGGTGGACAACTTTAATATGCTTATCTAAAAGGCCCAGTAAATCTTTCTTTATGCAAAACCAAATTTTAAAAAATTGGGATACACAATCATCCCACCAATAGAATGTAACATTTATGTTGCAAATCAATACTTTTACGCTCAACAATGTGAGTGTTGTATGTTCTATATAGAACAATTCTTGGGTTCACCCCTAGGGGTGAACCCATTCATTCACCTCCTCTAAATTTAGCCAATAAAAATGTGCCATGTCATATAACATTTAAATAGAAATAATAAATTCAAATTAAACAAACAAAACAAATTAATAAAACAAAATTTTAACCTTTATGTTAACGCCTTTGACATCTTTTCGCCGTTACTCCATCATCAGTTTCGGTTTGCAAAAAAATCTAAACCAATACACAACTTGGTCCAAATCTGAGATGAAACTAGAAGTTGCAGGTTTTGCAAAATCAGAAATACAAACCAAAACTGCATGTCCCGTTTAACTATTACAATTTGCAGAAAATTAAAAACAAAAGACAACAAGTCTCTTAACTCTCAAGTCTCAACTTGTAGAGATATCGACACACAAAATTGCAGGTTTAATCTATTTGATTTGCAGGATATTAGGACCAAGAGACATTAAGTCTCGATACCACAACAACAATCAAATCACTTATGATTGTTTCTCTATTCCAAAGATAGCAAAAAAACTACAGGCAACGATCGCAATTCAGAGTCTTATATCAATCGATTTGCAGAGAAATCAGAACCTGAACACTGTAGGTCTCGTTAAGCAAAGACGTCCGAACCAATCACTTCTAGTTATGTTTCTCTGTTTGCAACAGTAAAAAAAAACCAAAAACTGAGACTTCGACTTGCAAAAAATAAATCAAAATGCAGGTTTTCATAATCTAAAAATTTCAAAAACAAATTATAGATTGTCGAGGCTCTTAGAGTTGCAACTCAAAACTGTTGCGTTCAGGTTCGATATTCAAATGAGAATTCGATTAAAGTTTATTTGTTCTCAAACAATAAACAACTCGGAGGCTCGCAAGCTCTCATCACAACGAGTTTGAAGTTTAAGTAAACTTAATCTGAGACTTGTAAACATTCACAAGCTCTCACACGCTTATGAAATCTCAATTTCAATCCGTTAGATACTTAGATGTTTGTAGAACACCTAACCCTAATCTAAATCTCTTTGTAAAAAATTTATAGAAAACAAAAAGGGGAGAAGACGTCAAAGGGGAGACGTCGACCTTAACAAAAAGATTATTTTTTTTATTTATTTAATTTTAATTTTAATTTATTATTTCTATTTAAATGTTATATGACTTGGCACATTTTTATTGGTTAAATTTAAAGAAGGTGAATGAATGGGTTCACCCCTAGGGGTGAACCCAAGTATTACTCTTCTATATATACTGGTTTCAGTTAGGTTCTGATATGTGTTAAAGTTAGCCAAAAAAAATATGACAAAATAAAAATAAAAATATACGATTTTAAATATTGTTTTTAGTGTTTTATAATTATTTTAAGAAATTTTTTTTTGGTTTAATTATCTGACTGTTCTGTTTTTATTTCTGTAACATATCAGTCAAATACTCAAATCCATAGCTTATTATATATGGAAGAATCAAGAAACACATTGAGAAAGATATAAAGAAACTGATTTATGTTTATTATCATATATTTTGGCATCTTTTGATTAATTCTTGGAAATATTAGTACAGAGCATCTCCTTTGGAGACGAATGGGCATATATCGTAGTTTAACCTACGATTTATTTATTAGTTTGATGCCCCTACGATTACGTAGTTTTATCAATCAAGACCTATAATTAGTTCAATAATATTAACTTTTTAAAAGAAAATAGTATATTTATTGTAGTCTTGTACATAATGTATTAGGACCACTGTAATAATAATCACTGATAATTCAGTATTAGCTTCTCTATTTAATTTAAAACATATGTAGTAGTAGTAGTTCATTGAATATGGAAATGGGATTGTCTGAGCTCAGTGAATGAAACCAATGAATTTGTTGACAAAAATAACTAGTGTACTATATTGGTTTGTAAAACTTTTATTGGTTTAAAACCATCTACTATAGTTGCACCAAAAAGAAAAAATAAAAACTATGAATTCCACTCCATTGATGATTCTCCCTAGCTAGTAGAGTAGTAGCTAGTCTATGACTTATACTAATAAGATTCTTATTTTTAAAAAAATTGGTCATCTTATAAGTGATTGGAAGAACAAATTTATTCATTTACAATAAAATTGTCCTTTGTTCTAAAACAAGCACAATGGATGTGATAGCAAATTCTTATATTAATTTTCTTGTTTTTATACGCATAAAATCGTGTGTGTGTGTGTGTAATTCAAGAGGGTTTCAATTATTGTTAAAGTAAATATAATATTAAGCAATACGTGTTAGGTGCATGGCCTATATAAATGATAGGCGACATAGCCAAAGTATAGAAGAAAATCACAAAAGTATAATGGGGAAAGTGGAGATTGTTCTTAATTCACTTCCTATGAGTGGAGGAGATGGTCCGAACAGCTACTCTAAGAATTCTCATTTGCAGGTCTATTTTTAGAGCTTTTTAATCTTTATTTTCTTTTTCCCATATTTTATGCCTTTTTTCATCGGTTGTCAATTGGTAACGCTACGAAATTTTTAGAAGTCAGAAAAAATGGTGTAAGATTACGAAATAGTTGAAAGAGATAAGAGATAGTGATAGAAAAGCGGTGTGCAATTATAGAACAATTACAAAATAGTTGATAAAATGTTCTAAATGCTAAAGAAAAATAAAGGGAATCATGTTCTTAAATATGAATAAATAGTGATAGTTGAAACTTTTCAGATTCATCATATTTTAGTTTTGATTTTCTTTAGTTGTTATAATTAATGTCATTGAAATGAGTTGAAACTGATATATATATATATATATATATATATATATATATATTGTCAAAAATTAACAAACCTTGTTTAGTAATTTTTCAAAGAGACAATTTGAAGAATATTATCAGTTCATTTTGAATACACATGTTACTTGTCTGGCTTTTCGGATCAATTGGAAGCCCCATAACTTTATTTGTATCATCTTTTATATATATATATATATATATATGACCTTTTTAAATCAAAACTTGGTTCCTTGTTATGTACTTAAAAAAAAAAAAAAAAACTTCAATACCGATATTAAAATGTCCAGAACTCATCGAGCCACACAAAAAACACCGAAGATCATTAAGCGGCTTCATTGTCTTACGAAAAGACGAATCATAAAATTAAAGCTAAATCTATCAGGGATTGAAGGGAGTCAAGGGACTATTTTAGTTTTACTCATTCTAGGTTCATTGTCTTATGTTTTTTTGTTGGAAAAAGATGGTTTTGATTTTCTTATACGTTGGTTTATTATATGGTTTGGATCACATCTCATATATAGACATAGTGCAGCAAAATTACTTTTACGTAAGAATCTTGGAAATATTTGGGTTACTTCGTTCCATATATATGGTTTGTCATTGTTCGGTAATAAAAGTACAGAATTAATTTTTTTAAAAAATAGATTCCTTCTCTTATCAAAAAAAAAAAAAAAAGTTTGTGATAATTGGGTCTTGTATCGTTTTCAACTGGAGTAGCATAAAATTATAATAAGCTTTTGACTGCTTTTGGTGTGAACAGAGAAGAACAACAAGTTTGTTGAAAGAGACAATAGACAAATTGATATTAGAGAAACTCAATGCAAAAACCCTAATCTCTGACTCCAACACATTCCACATAGCCGATCTTGGTTGTGCAACTGGACCAAACACATTCTTTCTCGTTGACGACATCATCAAATCCGTTGAAACCAGCTTAAGAAAATCAAACTCCTCAAAACCAGAGTTTCTTGTCTTCTTCAACGACCTCCCACATAACGACTTCAACACTCTCTTCACCTCTCTCCCTCAAGACCGAAGTTACTTTGCGGTCGGGGTCCCGGGTTCGTTCTACGGCCGAGTTCTTCCTCAATCCTCCGTTCATATGGTAGTGACAGTTGGGGCCACACATTGGCTATCAAGTGTCCCGAAGGAGGTGTTGGACAAAAGCTCCAAGGCGTGGAATAAAGGCAAGGTTCACTATTCAAATGCGGCGAAGGAAGTTGTGAAGGCTTATAGAGATCAGTTTGGTCGGGACATGGAGAAGTTTCTAGAAGCTAGGGCTAAAGAAATAGTTAGTGGAGGTCTTTTGGTTGTTGGAATGTGTGGTATACCTAAAGGAATGCCTTTCTCTAATCTTGCCGACAGTATCATGTATAAGTCCATGGCTGATGTTCTCACTCAAATGCAATCCCAGGTAGTTCTTCATATTCTCTAACAAAATAATCTGAAACATGTAGAAACTCTCTTCGAATGAGATGCATTTGATAATTTAAAGGTAATAATATATTATAGACACATCACTTGTTTATTTTTAATTATGGGTTTATTGAGTTTAGTGAGATTGGCATGTAGGGTTTGATCAGCGAAGAGCATGTCGATACCTTCAACATACCTATCTACTCAGCATCGCCTGAGGAGGTAACAGTCTTGGTAGAGAGAAATGGATGCTTTACTGTCGAATCGATGGAGCTGATGGACCCCACGGCCTGGCGCCTCAAGCGGCCAATGAACGTGGAGGATGTTAGGCACTGGATGGTTTGCATAAAGGCCACAATGGGATCTCTCTTTATCAACCATTTCGGTGAACATCTCCTTGACGATGTCTTCGACCGTCTCACCGCAAAACTTGTTGGACTCACCGAGAAGATTGAATCTAGCTACCGTGAGGAGGTCATGTTGTTCTTTGCATTGCAACGAAAATAAGTTTTTATTTGGCAAGTTTTTGTATGTGGTTTTAACAAAATCAAAAAAA